CAACAAATATATTTTGAGATCATACATAGTACTTAACATAAACTCAGCATTCAGCAAGCCTGGTCTCTAAGAGGCCAGTAGGAAAAATAGACTAAGCAAATAATCTCTCAAATAAACCATAAAAATTTCAGATGATTATAACTATTACTAGGAGGAGATAAATTCAACTTCAGTAATGAATGACTTCACACATCATGTGAGCATCAATGAACACACAACTTCATTTTCCTACCACCAACTTGCTCTCTGTACACACATGCATTGCAGTCGCATTAATTATGGAAAACTATTTAGATTAGAAATTAAATGTCTAGGATTAAAGAGATAGTGCCGGAGTTTAGGAGCTTGCCTGCGTGTAGTCAACCCTAGTTAAATCCCTGGCAAAATATGATGTTCTGAGTACCACTAGGAGGGCACTTCTGAGCACAGAGCCAGAAATAACTCCTGAACCCTGCTGGGTAATGACCCAAACTTGGCCTCTCGCCAAAAAAATTAAATTTCTAATTGGAAACTGAACTCAAGCTTTTCAGGAATAAGTTTACAAAAACATTATGAATGAGAAAGTCTAGACCAAAGGCAAGGCAGTCTTAATGTACATTTTCCTACTCAAGAATGCCCTAATTCTATTTACTACAATATTAGTTTAACTAATTCAGAATATAATCCAAGGCTGCCTTTACTGAAACTTAGAATCAAAGGCAACTGAGAGCTCAAAAGGACAAAATGGAACTGAAGAGTTCTTTTCCTGCTTGTCATAAATTCAGATGGCTCCCTTTTAATCTCAGAGTACCATTAAGTAATATATGACATTTACAAAAACCTATCCAAATAAAACACTCAGAAATGCTATTTCTGATTTAAATGTTGTAAGATGAGTTCAAAGTATTTCCTACACAAAGTAGTTGTGGTATTTTCAAGCACTTTTAACCTGGAATGTCAAGTGCTTCTGACTTGACAATAGAAGCCTTAATAAATAAACAAGCAGTATCTGGATCAAAATATTGCAGTTCAATGGTTCACATGGACATTACTGAATTGTTTATACAATGGCTTTATTCAATAGATATAAAATCCATTTCAGTCTGTAAACAAGAAATATTAAATTGTTCAGACATGTTGGATATAGCAGTAATCGTGTTTTTTCTGTTTCTGTTGCCTTATGACTCAGTGTATTGCTCTTGAGGACTGAATTCATTACCACTAAGTTCATGACAAACTATACCAATTAGGAACTAAGTTGTGTTACTGGGGAAATTAAAATTTGAACAATACAGCAAACTTAATAATATCCAATGGTTTGCAAGAATGAAGACACTAGTCCTAATTTAGGGTGCTGCTCTGTAATAATGATGGCCACAGCTGTTTGCTGGCGCATCCGTGTCAATGCTCTTTTTACTCCTAACACCCAGACAGGTATAGGCATGTAAGTCAGGTGGCTAATGTGAATGCAAGAATTGGAGTCTAATAATGGAAAACGTTATGTAAATCTTTTACAGCTTAGTGAAAAGTGTTGTTCTGAGAAGTGTCTCAATTATTCCTAGAATAAAGAACACCACCATTATTTAGATTCTTTTTTTTTCCTTTTTGGAATGGAACTCCTCTTCTTCAATGTGAAGAAGAAAATAATAATAATGGCCTCCTCATTATGCTGTGCTTTGTGTTTTGGATAACTGCTTAATAGTCAGCTAATACTGAGATTTTCACCTCCCATCTATTCCCATGACCAACAACACTTGTTCTGCAAAGATTTCTTAGATTTAGTATCTTGGGGTCGGAGTAATAGTGCAGTGGGTAGATATGACTTTTGCCTCGCACATGGTGGACTCAAGCTCAACCCCCAGCATTTCATATAGTTCTCTGAGCCCGCCAGGAGTGAGTCCTGAGTGCAGAGCCAGAAGTACCCCTGAGTATCTCCATATGTTGTTCCCTAAACAAACAAGCCTCCTGCTCAGTCCCCTATATTTGAGATCTTGATCCACTTGACCCTATTTTCATTATCTACAACCACTGGAGGAGGCTAGGTCATTGGGGAATGTCAAGAGAGTAACCTTGGTTTACTCAGAATTCTAATAATACAAATATAAAATACTAGTTTCAGTTCTTCTGTATTTCACTCTTCATATATATATCTGTGATAAATCATACTCATCACTACATGATATGATTATTTCACATGAAGAAGTTCTATATAACATTTTACTAATGCTATAACTGCATTTTATTGTATCTTTTATCATTTTATAATATATTTAAGAATTACTCAATAATTTCTACTTTGATTAAATTATGTCTACATGTTTTAATATTAATTTTAAAGGTCTGAGTCAATACATATTTACAGATAAAAACATTTTTATAAATATGTAAGATATACAAGTTATAAAGATAGCAAATTTATCATTCTAAATATAATTGAGAAAAAAAATCAAGTATACAAAGTTAGAGAATGACAAATCCTTCTAAAACTAGCAACTGCCTGACAAAATCAGTAACACTGTTGGAACAAAAATAATTTAAGGGGCCAAAGAGTAGTATAGGGGCTAAGGCATTTGTCTTGCTTGCAGCTGGTTGATTCCTGTTCAATCCCAGCACTACATAGTTTCCTGAGTACCATTGGGCTGGAGTGATAGCACAGCGGTAGGATGTTTGCCTTGCGCGCCGGCCGAGCCAGTTCGATTCCTCCACCCCTCTCAGAGAGCCTGGCAAGCTACCAAGAGTATCTCACCCGCACAGCAAAGCCTGGCAAGCTATCCGTGACGTATTTGATATGCCAAATACAGTAATAACAAGTCTCACAATGGAGACGTTACTGGGCCCGCTCGAGCAAATTGATGAACAACGGGAGGGCAGTGCTACAGACAGTGCTACCATTAGGGCTCACTCCTGAGCACAGAAGGAAGAATAGCTCCTGAGCACTGTATGGTTTGGCCCACTCTCCACCACCCACCAATAAGTTACATTATAACCTAGGAATGTAAGAGCCAAAAAGAATTCTATAGTTATTAAGTCAGCACTCCTTATCACTATGTCAGCATTATTTTACTTACAAAAAAAAGTAACTGCAAATACAACAGAAGAAAGTTTCCTCATATTTGTGCTTTAAAGAGACTAGCTTATATAAAAATGATAAACAGAAAAGTTAACTATGAAAATAAAGCAGTTTCATGACCAGTTACTCATTAAGAGCCTCTGTTTTACTCACAATGACTAGTTCATCAGTGCAAAGGGAGAAGAAACTACTTACTAAATATGGTTCCCCAGAGCTACAAAGAATAATGCAGCTAGCACTGCTTCCAACACACAGAAGAGGTGCACAAAACTTACCTGGAATGGAGATGACTTCAAACAGCCTTTGAAACCACTCCATCCTGCCACTCTGCTGTAATGACAAGGACGAAAACTACTGCCACAGGCCTCATCGTTTTTCTGTTTCATTTACTGTAAAGTTTCTGAACTCTTGCACATTAGAGTCATCAGGTGAGCTTCAAAATGTGCAGGGCAATTGTGGAGTGAGCCTAGAAGTTTCTAGACTCTGCTCGGGTACAGTCAGGGCTGTGAATCAATGATTTGCTCCCACAACTGGCACTACCTTCACTTTCCTGTCTCGGTCTTATCTTCATGAAGCATCCTCTAAAATGATCTTTTCCATAATGCCTACAGAATTAAATTCAAACTTCTGAGTATTGCAGCAATCAGCAGGATCCACTCTTGGCATCTCTTTGGCTGTCTCTCCCCTGTTTTCTCACAAGTCATTGTTTCTAAGATGTCCAACTCAGTGTCTGGACCTAGGCACCGAACTCAGAAATAATTTATAGCACTTATCTGTTTATTTAACTAGATACCAGCACCTTCTTTCTTGACATACTAACCTTTTCTCCTCCTCTCCTCTCCTTTCTCAGTGTCCTTAAAGCAAAGCTAGATTGTTTTGCATGTGTGTGTGTGTGTGTGTGTATATGGGGGGGGAGGGGGGGGGCGGGAGGATGACACACACTACTGCAGGCGGTGATGGAGCTTTGCTTCTTTTTCTATTTTTTTTTTGACTAATCAAACTGAATTAGCATTGCAGAACTTATTGTGTCATTTAGAGCTATGTCACATTTGCCTCTATCACCTTAAACATAACAAGGTACTTAGTAAGCGAATGCTGGCACTGTTGAAGAAATTGTTTTTTTTTTTTTTTTGGATGGTTGAGGGCACACTTGGCTGTGCTCAGGGCTCATTCCCAGCTCTGTGCTCTGGGTTCACTCCTGGCAGACTCAGGGGACCACATGTGGCACTGGAAATTGAATAGCTGATTGATCACATGCAAGGCAAAGTGCTTGCCTGCTGTGCTACCGCTCTTGCACAAAGAACTGCATTTTGTATGGTTTCAATAATTATTGACATACCTCCAGGAGAATAGTAAAATAAAATAAAAATTCAAACTGTATTAAATATCTAAAGGTCTTTGTATCATTCATCTTTTATTCACTGTGCATTTCATTATTTTCTCAGGCCTCCGAGTGGTACCAAACGGGGTCCTGGGTTCATGTACAGATTCTCCCAACTTGATCAGACCTGTGAATGTGAGGGTCTGAGGATGTGGTGCTACAATGCTCAGAGACCACAAGGCCACACTGGGAAGTGCTGACTGGGGCCCAAACAATACCCCACACAGGTAAGGTGTCTGCCCTAAGTGCCCATGCAGTATCTTCTTCAACCCTTAGCACTTATTTAACACTTAGTAACAGAAATGACAATTGCTTTGAAGGTCAGATATTCAAATGAGGCTACCAGAGAAAAATTAAAGATGTGAAGAGTCAAAGAAAACCCTTTAATTAAATTCTCGAAAGTGCTTATCATCAGTCTCCCAACCGTACATGCTCAGAACCACAACCAATACATACTCACCTCAGACTTTGGAAAGGGAAGGAAGCCCACTTATGCCCACCACAAGTTGGCCAAATGCGGCTGCTCCCATCATGGGGCAGCTAACCCACAGCTCGGGTGAATATGCTTACTTTGTATTTGCTCTCCGATCTGGAAGGGGTGGGGATATGTCCTTTTTTCTTGAAGGTTGTAAAGTGCTTGCACTGAGGACATGGCTTGGTGCTAGAATCAATACGGCCAAGTTCCAAGAAGTATTTATATTTGATGGAGTCTTCGTGTGTTAAGTTATAGATGACTGTGGTTTCTTCCAGGAATTCAAAACATTCTGTGATAGGGCATTTGATTTCAACTTGGCCAAGCTGAACCTGGTGGAGAGCAGAGAGGAGAAAAACAAAGGTCACCGATTGTTATGGATCTCTTCTTTTTTATTTCCTATAGTATTGCTTATTTAATGATAATAGTAAAAGATCACTGCCATTTTTCAAGATTCCTTACATTACAGATGGCAAGTGCTTAGGGGTATCTATATTAGATAATACCAAATGATTACTCAATGCATGCTTCCAAAATGACTTACAGCATGTTTATGTGTTCACAGACAATTATATTGGTGAACTTAAATGTAATTACATCACTGGCTCACCCAAGCAGCAAATTACCACCCCATCTGTCTAGAAACTCCAGAGTGTGAGAGCACCGAGACAACACGCCAAATGAAGAAACACCTAGGACGAACGTGCTTCTGAGTTTTCAGCGCTACACATACGGTGCATTTTGCTTTTTAAAAACGATAAAAAAGGAAGCTTTTGTAAAGTACACTATACAAGAGTAACTCTTCACCCAGACTCTTCCACGTAAAGAACAATTGCATAATAGTTCTGAAGTCTTCTTAAGGAAGATCAAATGAATCCCAATATTGTAAAAAGCAAACACAAGAACCTCATGAAATCTGGTTTCTGTGATGCTCTTTAGAAAATGAATTTCTCCAAAGATCCCTAGAATTAGATTAGGGAAAAAAGAGAAAGATAGACTGACACCCAAACACTTGACATTTGATGAGGGATTCTAGATGTGGCAAGCATTAAAAAAAAATTACAATGTAAGATTAAAGTATAATGTGTGGACAGAGCTAAAATGTTTTTAATGAAAAAACAAAACTAAACAAAAAAAAAAACCCAAAAAATCCAGGCTACTTTTAAATAAGAAATAGCAGGCATTTTCCATAGGCAGTGAACAAGAATGCTTTCTATTCATGGCACTGCACTGCAATTCCTTGTTGTTTATTTACCCCTGTGTGGCAAACAGAAGCACCTAGAGCACCTCTGGCCAACAATGCTAAACCTGTTCTTTCTCCCATGAGTTAGCCTGACATTCTAAGAAGTCAGACCTCACTGACCTTCCTAAGAAAAGCCCACTGTGAAGACTGACACTGGAGAGAGCTGCATGACCTGGGCAGGGAAAAACATTACAAAGAGCAATAAAAACAAAGCACCTATCTTCAGTATAACTTTTAACTTTACTGGTTATTTCTTGTAAATTTGAAGAAAAGTAGTTAAAAAGCTTTGACTAAAGACTGCAGGGGATAATATATTTAATGCCACTAAAAGATGAGACTGACTTAGCAAAATCTTATTAGTATTGATTTGTCTAAAGTAAACTGCTACATAATTTAATGCTGATTGTACAAAACATGGTCCAGAGAGGTTATTCAAATACTAGCTCTAAACAATAATTTTACCTACTTTTTTTATGAGTCTCCATATAGCAAAAATTAAATTTTATTATATTTTTATAGTGTTACAGAAATGTTATTACAACACTGATCACATTTTAAAATTATTTTACCTATATCAAACTAAGAAGCTTCTGTAGTGCAAAGAAATGAAGACCAGAATAAAAAGACATCTCTCATATGGGGAGAAAATATTTACATACCACTAATCTGACAAACGGTATATCAGGATGTATAAATCAAAATATATAAAGCACTGGTAGAACTTTACAAGAAAAATAAACAACACTATAAAAAAATGGGGAAAAGAGATGAAAAGACACTTTCTTACAGAAGTCATACAGATGATCAGTAAGTATATGAAAAAAATGTTCTACATCATTTATCACCAGGGAAATGTAAATCAAAATAACAGTAAGGTATCACCTCACACCAGTGAGACTGGCAGACATCAAAAGGAACAACAACCCGTGGAGGCATGGATATGGGGAAAAATGACCTCACTCAGTGCTGCATTGAGCTTCCATACGACCCAGCAATACTGCTTCTAGGAATATACCCTAGAGATTCCAAAACACACTGCATAAAAGTCATCTGCACTACTATGTTCATTAAAAGTACTATTCACAATAGCCAGAATCTAGAAACAATGCGAATGACCAAGAATAAAGACTGTATAAATAAACTATGGTACATCTACACAATGAAACACTATGCAGTTCTCAGATTTTTAAGTAGATTAAAAAACATGAAAGAATAATGAAAATCTAGTTTAATATATAACTAAAAAAATGTGTACATCATAACTTCTGTTGACATCTGTTGAGCCTAAGTGTGATCCAGAAACATTACAAGTGCCTATCAGTAACGAGACAATCATAGCATGAAGCAGTGAGAGCACCCAATAGGGTGGGTGCAGGGCAAGACATGAGCACATTGGGGTGACCTCACTATTTGGAAGCTTCAAAAGGTGTTTCTTGGAAGAAGTGAAGTTTCAAGTGAGATCTTTAGATTAGCAGCATCCTTTAGCCAAGGTAAATGTGTTTACAGCTGTTGGAGTTAAGAGCACATAACTGGAACAACTCACATGCTCTCCTAAGGTATGTGCATCCTAATTTAGAGATCATAACCTTGGAGGAACTGAAAGATCAGCAAATGTACTATTTTAGAAAGATAAGTCTGAACAGAAGAACTGGGATCATATTACGAGGGTAGAATGTAAAGCCACCCTAAGATTTTTTTTATTATTTTTCCTATGAATACAGAAAACTTCAGCATAAGGAAGACAATTTCATTTCACATAGAAAGGGTTTCCTTGGTCCATCTCAAGTGACTCTTATTTATCTAGGAATGAAATAAATAATATATTTTGCTTCCAGGTCAATGTTTTAAGCTAGTCACCCTTCCCAGTTATTTACTTTTACTACATAAATCATTACAATGTAGTAGTAATCTCAGAGCCACAGTTAGGGCTCAGTGAAAAGGAATAGAGGGCTGGAGAATGCAGGGGTCAGTTACGGTGCTTGTCTTGCATCCTGCCAGAGCCCTGTTCATCCCTAGAGCTTTGTGTGGTCCCTTGAGCATTGGCAATGGATCACTATTGAGCAATGAGTCAGGAATAGTCTCTGAACATCCCCCTGTCTCCCACTCCACCTCTACCAAAGTTACATGTAGTTTAGGTACTAGAACAATTCAAGGCCTTTCAAGGAAGCATGGCGTTGCTTTTCTTGGTTACCACTTACGACTGATTATGCCTTAGATTCAATAAATGTGGACTTTATGGGTTAGGCATTCTGATGGCCTCTGGAGAGATGATGAGAAAGAGAAACACAATTTCTATTAGAAAAATAGTAGAGAGAGAGTAAATAATAATAAAGAGAAAAGTAAACCAGGAAGATCATTTTCAGTGTTATGAAGGAAACACATGGGCTGGAGCGATAGCACAGGCGTAGGGCATTTGCCTTACAAGCGGCCAACATGGCCGACACAGGTTCGATTCCCAGCACCCCATATGGTCCTCTGAGCACTGCCAGGAGCAATTCCTGAGTGCATGAGCCAGGAGTAACACCTGAGCATCGCCGGGTGTGACCCGACCCGAGTTCGATTCCTCTGCCCCTCTCGGAGAGCCTGGCAAGCTACCAAGAGTATCTTACTCGCACGGCAGAGCCTGGCAAGCTACCCGAGATGTATTTGATATGCCAAACACAGTAACAAGAAGTCTCGTGATGGAGACATTACTGGGCCCGCTCGAGCAAATCGATGAACAACAGGAGGACTGTGACCGCGAAGGAAGCACATTATCAAGGACAGTATCTCTGAAGAGGTGACAACTTGAGGCAAGAACTAAAGGGTCTGTCAAGCTAAAAACTTGAGAATAGTTTGAAAACAAAGATAATAGCCCCTGGGCATTACCTGTATTCTGAGAACAGAAGTGAGTGACTGAAACACACACTGAAACAGAACACAGACTTGTTAGTTAAGGTAAGAACTGCTGATTAAATTTTAAGTTCAATATGAATCACTGTCTAGTTTTATGAGAATTGACATATCCTGGCTCCCATTAAAAAGAAATCACTCAGGTCTTCCTAGGGAATGAGCTGACAGACAAAGGTGAATCTGAGAGAATAGTAGGATTCTAGATTGTATCTGTTCTGCTAGCGGCATCTGACAACTACAATTGTCAGAGAGATGACTGATAGATAACTGAACTAGGCAGCCAGAGGTAGTCAGTCACAGAGCATATTTTAGAAGTGGAACCAGTGGGTTTTGGTGATGGAACAGTTCTGGCAAGGGGGCAGTTTGGTGATGGATCAGTTACAGAGATAAAGTAAAGGGAGCGTTACTTACAGAGACATGTCTAATGCAGTTTGTGTGGACATATGATATTTACAAGAAATGATTCACTGCAAAATTTGAACTTGAGGAAGCACGAATTGTACAGTCTCTGCAAAGAACTTGGAATTTGATGGCACTAGTTTAATATTTTATTCAACATTAAAAAATTGTTAGGCACAATCATAAATAACTTTAAAAATTGGCAGAAGGTATTACGAATCCTTAAGTTCCCATTCTTTATCCTCAACATATACCACCTCTTAGGATATCTTATTTCTTCTGTCCTTCACCCTAATGGTGCTTTAACATTTTTGTTATTTTGGAGCCATTTTGAGTGAAATGTTGAAGCCACTTACTGGGGTTGCTCCTGGTAGTATTTGGGGAGAATCACAAGGTATGGGGGGGAGGGGGTGTCAAGACTGAGCCTCCTGCATGCAAAACAAGCACTTCAGTCCACTGTGCTAGCTCTAGCCTTCTTTTCAATTCTGAGTCAGACATCTTGTGATAAAATTTATGTATATTTCGGTATGGGCATAAGGAAAATGATAAGTATTCTAAAAACAAAGCCACAATACTAAGTACCTCCCCAAATAAAAACAATCATTTAATACAAATTAACATATCAACTATCTTCTGCTTATAAGATTTCATGTACCCGATATTCTTTTTTTTTCCCCCTTTATTTTATTTTATTTTTTTTAAAGTTGTAGATTTACAATTTTTTGTGCTTTGGTTTCAATTATACAATGATCAGATACCCATCCCTCCACCAGTGCCCATTTTCCACCACCATGGATA